GTGTCAAAATATGAAGCATAAGCCTAAATATGTAATTATTTGAGACATTATCTACTCCCAAGAAGTAAAATTCCCTCTGTACCCCTTGACCCAGAAAATAATTTTAGTGATGAGCAGTTTGGAAGGAAGAGATTATTTCAGGACGCTCTATGTGAACATGCCGTTTTGATGCTATATTTGACTCTGTAACATGATCTAATCGTACAAGAATGGAATGGCTATTGTGAACTAACGCCCAGAATCATTGTGAGAACGGGATTTGATAATTTCTTTCTGAAATGACTTTATAATAGAGTTTCAAAAAATAAGATTTTAGAGAGATGGACTTCTCTTCAGGAATTTTCCTGTTAATGCTGTAGCTAACTATCCTGAACCTTCTCATAGAAGACCGAAGTCACTACGTAGAGCAAGGAATGATCCAGATACCTTTTGTAAAATCTTCCAAAGAAAATACTATTTCATTTGAAGTTTCATAAAAAAACTACGTACTATGTTTTTTAATGTGATTATTCTGCTTACCTAAGAAAGGTCATGAATAACCAGCTAAACTATAAAGAACATATAATAAGGTACACTATAGCCTCAGAAATAATTTTGGAAACTGGCAGGTCATAGTGTTATCAGTATGATTACCAATTAAATTAATAGAGGTGAGTTTTCTTTCTCAAGAGTCTCAGATTTTCTCTGAAGTTTTTCCTCCCAGTATCTCCATTCTGATTGAACAAAATGCAACACTAAATACACCTGCATGAACAAGCAATGGAGTTTCTGTTGGGCCCATTGGCTTTGCTCCCATGTCCCTGTAAGTCTATATTTTTCCATATAACAACAACAAAATGTACATATATATATATATATATATATATACACATATATACACACACACACATATATACATATATATGTATATATATGTTTATATATGTTTTCCATTATATATGTGTGTATTATATATAATATTTGGAAAAGTGAGATATTCTCCAAATCTGTCACCTGTCTACGAAGATGCTATAATTTCTACTGTCCACAACGACTATTAGAGAATTTAAAACAAAAGCTACCAAGAATAGATTTTTTTTGGGGGGGGGGGCTTCCATCGAGGCATTTTATTTGCATGAATGTATTACATCCCTAGAAAAAGAAACCTTGGATTTTCCCTCCTGTGTGTTTTTTTTTTGTCTTGCTTCTTCATGGTCTGTAATGCCAGCTGTGGTTGTCAGAACAATTAAAGCAAACTAGTGGATGGGGGCAGATTATTCTGCCATTTTTCTAAATCTTTGAGTTGTACATCCAATATCGGGCTGCCAATAACACTTTTATAATCTTGCTTGATAATTTTTTTTTTCAAAATGATTCACAGCCTGGAATGAAATAGCAAATTTTCCAAAGCCAGCGAACCAAGATAGTGTACAAAGCTCATTGATTTTTTCTTACAACTCTTGCAAACAATGCTCAGCCATGCAAAATAATGTAGCCAGTTGTCTTCTGAAAATTGGTGAGGTGATATTTCAATGTGATTTTTATTTTATCTTCAAAGGTTTTACTCTTGGACATAGCAATCTCTATTCAATGAGATGGCTATGCCCCATCTGTCAGTTCATGTTTGATTATATTTTTAAAAGTCTATGAAGAACGATTAGCCAATTGCTGTGGTTGATTTTGCATTTGTCAAATTTTACACTGTGTGGTGTAGACCACACTTGCATAAAACCGCACAAAGAAGTATGCTGGAGGCTTACCCGAGAGGAGGAATCCATACATCACCACCAGGCAATGAAATTTTATTTCCTGTAGCTTTTCCTCTAGATATCCTTGGTATATAAGGTGCACAGGTATTTCAGAGAACTACAGAAACCAGATACATTGAGATAGGCCTGAGATAAAACAGATTTGCTGTAAAGTAGAATTAAACCTGGGTGTAGTGATATCTGTTTATCACAGCTTAAGAAAACAGTGCCAGTCAGGCAGAAATGCTTCAATGTGAAAAATATAATATACAACAGAGAGGGCAAAATTTTGAAATATGAGTTTAAAGAATCCATTTGTTGCATGGAGAGTCTACTATTAGGCACTGTTCTAGGTGTTTCAGATACATCAGTGAACAAAACAAAGACCTCTGCCCTTGTGCAGTTTGCCTCTCAGTGTTGGAAGACAGAAAAGAAAAATTTAAAACAGCATGTGAATAATTTGTAAATCTGCAGAATAAGGTAAGTGCTAGGAAAATGTGAAGTAGGGAAAGAAGAATGAAGTGGGTGACATTAAAGTTGAAATTTTAAACAGAGTAGTCAGTGTCTTCTGGTTCAATATGTATTTTGATATAAATTTAAATATAATTCTGAGATTCAGGGTTACCAAAAGTCATATTCCTTTTGCTTATATAAAAACAAAGGTAAGACAAGGCAGTTGGCTACCATGCTGGCAAGAGACATAGGTCTATGAGTTTTCCTGATTTTGGATTTTTCCTGGGACATTTTAAAACTGCCTTAGCTGTGCTACTTTGAAATCTGTCCAAAATTAACAGGCACACTGAGACTTCGAACATGTTTTGTGACCCAATTTCTGGAGCTGCAGGGATATACCAAGCCCTTTGCCTCTCTTAGATATACAGAAATTAGGAAGATAAAACTAAAAATCTACTCTTGGTATTTGATTGAGGTCTTTGATCACTACCATACTTCAATGTCATATATCTATGGATAAGGGTTAGTTGTAACCTGAGGATATATTCTAAAAGATATGATTTCATATCATTTATAAAATACTTAATTTCCCAATACTTTCAAGATTTGTTGGTGATTGTATCTAAAAATTTTATTAACAACTCTGCATTATCAGGCTTTACCAACTCTTGCTGACTCTGCTTTTCTCTTGTCTATGAAATCAGAACATACAAAGTTCAAGTAGTTGCCTGATTTGCTCCTTCCCCACCTCATCCTTCACATGTCCAGGACTCATAGATAAATACACTAAAAAGTGTGTTTTTATACTCCATTTTATACTCTATACAATATGTTCTACATATGGTAGTAATTTTTTTTTTTTTTGAGAGAGAGAGAGAATGCATGCACGTGAGCGAGGGAAAGGCAGAAAGAGAGGGAGAGAGAGAATCCCAAGCAGGCTCTGTGCTGTCAGTGCAGAGCCCGACATGGGGCTTGATCCCATGAACCATGAGATAATGACCAGAGCTAAAATCAAGAAGAGTCAGATGCTTAACCGACTGAGCCACCCAGGCACCGCTATATCGTAGTAATTTTAACCAAATTTTCTCATCATTTTCACTCTCAAGAGTCATATCCGTTTTAGAATCTAAACATGGTAGTCATCCTTTTATTACCCATCATTATAATACACACTCTTATTTGAATACTCCTGAGTCCCATTGCATTTATCCTGTTTAAAATATAACTATATATATCATATAATAACCATATATATGTAATATCCTACTTGATAAAACACCCATATATTAATGATATCATGGTGCTATTAGATCTTAAAAATTTTTGATCAAGTCCAATTTATCAATTTTTGACTTTTTGTTGTTTGGGATTTTTTTTAAACTTATGTAAGAACATTTTGGCTACTTCAAGTTTGCAAAGATTTCTCATCTACGTATTGCCCCAGAACTTTTATAGTTTTAGTATATACGCAAACACATATATGTTTATGAATCAATTCAAATTAATTTTTGCTTTGTTGTCATATAAGAATCAGTGTTCTTTTCCAACATGAACATCCAGTTGCTTTGGCATCATTTATTTAATACATGTAGGGTATCTTCACACTGTTCTCTTTACAAAACACTGCAAAATTTCTTACATCCTTGGATTCTTAAGTACAAGCTTTATGCTTTATTTTGCATTGTAGTTTGCAAATAATTTCATGCTTAATTATACTCTTCTGATAATCTTGGGAGGTCAGTATTCTCAGTTTGTAAAACAAGGAAATTAAGGGGCTAAAGAAATTACCAAAGATATCTCACCCATACTCAAACACACAAGTGCACACATGTGCATGCACAACACACACAGAGACGGAGCCAATCCCACAAACCTGGGTCACTTCATGTCAGTACTTCTTGAGTTTCATTTCCCAAGTAAATACCCATTAATGGCAAGGCAGACTCAAGAAATATACTCAAAAGGCCTTGAGACACAGCTGGAAACAATCACAGATTTTTTTCATCAAAGGTTCATGTTTTATATTTTAAAAATTATGTGAATTTTATATCCCTCTATATTATCTTTGCTGAACATATCAAAATAAAGTTGTATATTGTATATCATTAACTAAAATAAATGTTCCAGATAAATCCAACTGGCTCTCTATATTATTGCCACTCCCTGCTCCTTTCCCTGGAACATGAAACCCATTTTCAGATATTCCCACATCATTGTTATCTGTAGTCTCTTTTGGTTTGCTTAGTGTTGTTAGTGTTATTAACTTACTTTATTTAAAGAGAAAACACCTGTGCACCAAGGTAAACATAATGATAAAGATAAGAGCCCATTCTTCAATTAGAATAGCTTCAAACAGTTCTGGAAATAAAAGACTATTGTCTCATGTTCTTTTTTTACTGCCACTTAATCAAATACGATATATGAGGCAATATGGAGTGTATATCTAGAGATACATAGTTGATTAGGGACCACTTTCCTTGGGGTGCAAACCCAGGAGATATGGACTTTCCAAACTATGTTCAAAGTCAATAATAACTTTTTTTTCCTGAAAGTATACATTTCTTGTTTCAGAAGATACCCTTCATCTTGGAGCCAGACCTGTATCTGGATTAACACCTATATAGAGGGATTTTATTTTCTTCAGCTATCCTGGAAAGTAGGCAGCTAATGCCTTTCAAGACCTGACAGAGATGATTGTCCTTCTGTATATAGGAGAGTTGTCTGTTAAAGATTTACTCATCAGAAAATGATAATCACAGGTTTTATTATCTATAGAGATTTGGGGTAGCAATTGATAACACTCCCACCTTTCTGTTTCAGGAGCAGGAGAATCTGGAAAAAGTACAATTGTTAAACAAATGAAGTAGGTACACACTATTTTAATGTTTGATATTTGATGTCTGTCTGTGTAGTTGACCAGTCTTAAAAGAAATATTTTTCATTGATTGAAAAATATTGAAATCAGATTGAAATCTGATTGATGGTCCATATATCCAGGTAGCAGCAGAGCAGTCATGATTCCTGTGAAAATTTCCCTCCAACCCTTTACCAGAGAGCATAACTGATGAGTAATATTGTCATTTCCATTTTTTTTTTAATCTTGCCTCTCAACAAGATGCCTACTAGAAGCAGTTATGTTTTAAATATATTAATCTGGGTATAATCTAGGGTTTCAATATGGTGGGCATAAGCCATAAACATTTCAAAATATGTCAAGATTCATTTGAATTTAGGAGGGAATTATAATTTCAACCCAATTGGCATTTTACCTACCTGGGAATAAAATGTTTATGTAAAGTTATTACTATCATGGATTTCATTTTTTTTTTTTTTGCATTTTTCTTTCCTCTTTATAATGAAATAAGTAGGCATGAATTTCTTGATGAGACAACAAATATAAAGGTGCTAAAATCCAAGAATATAATGTCTGAAGAAATAAAATTTCAATTGATAAGTGGAGATGATTATGTAAGATCTCATGACTGTCACTGCTGGAGAATTCTAAAGGACAACTATTGCTATAGGAGAAAATGATCATTTTTTAAGCTTATTTTTAATTACCTATTGGAGGATCTTGCTCTTTGGAATAGGTCACAAGAGGAAATCATCCCAGTTAATGATACAATTGTCTATTTAGAATGTAAAACACTGTTTTTTCCTTTCTTTTTAGGTACTAATGTCATGTAAGTTCCTTATCAGCAATTATATAAGATCCACTTTTCAAATTCCATGATACCTGTACTTGCACCCAATTTTTTTATACCTTTTCTCCCATCTTTGAAGAACAGGACACGCCTCTATCCTGACCAGTGCTCATACTGCTTTTGTGTTCTCAGTTCCATCCTTGCATCCCAAATCATCTTGCACACCCTGTAACACTACCACTGAATTCACCTGTTAGTTTATTTCTGGTTAAAATCATGCTTGAGTTCCCCCTATCCTTTTTACCTGTCCATTCTCTGTGAAGTTAAATGCAGTAAAACAAGAAATAATCAATTATTTGGCTATCTAAAAATTAAAACTTTTAAATATATTAAACCATAAATAAAATTAAACAAAAATAGAAAACTAGCAAAAAATCTATAATAAATATAATAGATAACTGACTATAATAATATGTACATATAGATATAAATATAGATATATAGAGAGATATATAATATATAGATTTGTAAGAAAATATAGATTGGTAAGAAAACAAATAAGCTGCCCAATAAATACAAATGGTAAGACACTATGAACAGACAATTCACAAAGACAAAATTAATGTCTGTTTACATCTATAATGAGCTATTCTTCATCTTAGTAAATTAGCAAACAATAATTTTAAATAATATTACTCAATAAGGGTGAGGTTTGACAAGTTAATATTTTTCATTACTACTTGTAAAATTATTTGTTAAAGCAGATTTATAGAAATAACTCTTGCAATCTACACTGCAACTTGGGAAAATAATAATTATATTTCCGAGAATTTTAATAAAATAATTTAAATTTTTAAAAAGTACAAAAATAAAATAATATAAACATGAAAATATGAACAGTTATGCACCGAGAGATTTGGACTAGTCTTATTTAAAATAATGATGTATGAGGTAAAACAAAATACTCTAAATTAAAATAAAACATAGGGAAATGGATTGTGAAAGTATGGGACTCTCCACTTTTCAACTGTAATATTTTACACCCATTTACAAGTTGTATGCAAATGAGAAAGTTTTAATAGCAGAAAATACTTATATTCACTGCACCACAAAGATACAAGATTCCATAAACATCTTTACCTCAACTATAACAAAATAGATAATTTTTTTAAATGGAAGAAAATATTCCAATGTTCAAAGATATTTGCTTCTCATTACTGGGATTTAAAGTTAAACTGAACCTTCATTTTGAACACTGCTGGGTTTTTCACATTTTCTACAATGAGCAAATATTGCTTCTATTATTAACAGAGTCTCCTGATGCTACTTATTCCTCCTTTCCTCAGCAGACTCTATATGGAATACTCAACATTAGCTCTCTTTACTCTTCTACCTTCCATTTACTCTTAAACCATTTCCATCATGCCTGCCTCCAGCATGCCAAAAAAATTGCCCGTATAAATGTCAATTATTATTTCCCAATTGTCATGTTGTATGGAATGCTCATGAGTCCTTATTTTAATTGTTTCACTGCACTGGGCTTTTCTCTTCTCAAACTTTACTCTGGCTTCTAAAATAACTCTTTCCCAGTTTACCTCCTAACCACCTGCTTTACTCCCAGATTCTTTGACTACATCTTAACTGCTGGTGCCTCTAATGTACTAGGTCCCCTTCTCTGCTTACTCTATACCTTCAGATGAAAACTGCTAAGGTCCAGTGATTTTTGCTATCATCTGTCCCAGACTGTCCTAGAATATTTCTTTCAAATTCACTTTGTCTAAACTAGGGAAGCAGGTATATCTACGTCCATATTCTGTGGATAGGTCCAGTTCAAAAAAACAACACTAACTTATCTCTCCATCTGGCCTGTTTCCCTACATTTAATTATAGCAGCAACAGCAGCAGCAGCGGCAGCCTCTAAAGCAATAAATCTGGGTGTAGATATGAAGACGCTCACCTACTCACCAAGTTTTGTCACATCTACACAAGTTACATCTTCAAGGGTGTTATTTATCCCTATTGTCACTGCCTTAGTTTAAAAGCCTCACATTTCTGAAGTGGATTAATGCAATATCCCGCTAAGAACTTTCGACCTCCCTCTTCTTTCCTCCACTGCAGTATCCACAGTAACACCAACTGATCGCTTTTTAAAAAGAGTGTATGTCTTTCCTGAATCGTACTGTTCACAAACTATCAAGATCAAACTGCTTGGCATGATACATAAGACACTTCAGAATCTAGCTCTTATCTACCTCTTCATTCTGATGTCCTATGACTTCCCTCCCCCTTCATGCTTTCTACATCAGATGCTGAACTTACATAATGCTTTGGACTAATGTATGACAGAAGGCATACAGCTTAGCAGCTAAGATCAGGGGCTCCAAAATCAGACTGCATTTATTGCTCAACTGTACCATGTACTAAGTTAGGGGTGGTGGTTCATTTATCTATGCCTACATTTCTTTCCTGTAAAATGTATGTAATAATTTTACCTACCTTAAACTACTTATTGCAAGAAATGAGAAGACATATAAAGCACTTAAAACAGTGCTTGGCATACACTGAAAGTTTGGTAATTGTAGCCATCTGTTCGGTCGTACTGATTGTTCTTCCTAGAGTGTTCTTCCTTTTCGCTATCTGGAAATAACTACTCCTCCTTGAATAATGAACCGATCATCAATCACTGCCCCAGGCAGTCTCCCCCCAGTCTCTTAGACTTCCTCTCAATAAAGTCTATCGCTTCTTCTTTTCTAGTTTATTGTACCACATTCAGACATTGTTGTAATATACTCTCACACTGTACAAAAGTGAAATTTTATGCCCTACCTTCCTATATAATCCAGTACTCTCCAATAGAACTTTCTGTGATGACAGGAAGATTCTATCTGCATTTTCCAATATGGAAGCTCCTAGTCACATGTGGCTATTACGCATTTGAAATTTGGCTAGTGTAAAGGAGGAATTAATTGACTCTTATTTTTTTAATGTTTTACTTAATGTTTTTGTTTTTTTATTTATTATTTTTTTAACATTTATTTATTTTTGAGACAGAGAGAGACAGAGCATGAACGGGGGAGGGTCAGAGAGAGAGAGGGAGACAGAATCTGCAACAGGCTCCAGGCTCTGAGCTGTCAGCACAGAGCCCAATGCAGGGCTTGAACTCACAAACTGCGAGATCATGACCTGAGCCGAAGTCGGACGCTTAACCGACTGAGCCACCCAGGCGCCCCTGTTTTTATTTATTTTTGAGAGAGACCAAGACAGAATGCTAATGGGTTAGGGGAAGAGAGAGAGGGAGACACAGAATCAGAAGTAGGCTCCAGGCTCTGAGCTGTCAGCACAGGGCAAGACACGGGGTTCGAACCCACGAGCTGTGAGATCATGACCTAAGCCGAAGTCAGACGCTCAACCAACTGAGCCACCCAGGTGTCCCAGAATTAATTTACTTTTAAATAATGTCTAGTAGCTACTATATTAGACAGTGGAGCTCTAGTCTATATGTTTTGGGGGAGGAGAGAAAGTGTCATTCATTAATTCTTTTCAGTACACAATGCAGTATGTTACAGAAAATTTCCAGTAGAAGCTCACTAATTTGAACAGGTTTAGGAATCAACTGGCAGATAGAAAGCTCTATGTCACAGAAATGTATTTGTGCATTCCCTGGAAAAACAGTGTTACTTAAAGTCCCACTACAGCTGGATTTTTTAAAGTATACATTTACCATTTTGCTTTGTGATGTTTCCTTATCCTGTGATGAAAGGATAGGAATAAGAACTTATTCCAGAAAGAAAAACCTAACTGCCATTTTAATTTAATAATTAAATAATTTTCCAATTTCACTTTTTTGACAAAGAACTGAGATTTCTTTAATGAACTTATTCTTGAGCTATCTATAAAGACATTTTACTGCATGTTTTCCACAACCTTTAGTGGTCTACTTTTTTACCTATTAAAGTTGTTTGTTTAATATAGCAAGATAAACATGGCCATGTTGAAAATAGAAACACAGCAATTATTGGCAATCAAACATTAAAAACAACAAATAATGGATATAGGTTCTGCCTCTACTCTTTTTACTTCAGAAATTGTTATATTTGAAGGTTTTAATATCTTTAAGGGCCTCAGTGTTCTTTTCCTCCTCATGCTAACGTCTCTCTGTGTACAGATAAAACACAAATCCTTCATAATATGACACCCAAAATGATGGCTAATGAAGGTAAGACACTTCAAAAACAAACAAAAAACAAACAAACCTAGAAAGGAACAAGAACATATTATACAATAGACAATAAAGTAATAAGCATATGCAGAGATTTTAGCTTTTAGAAGGTAAATCTATTTTAATCTATTATTCCAAAAGGATAAGTAAAACTGAGTTCTGATTGAATGAGTGAATGGAAGGAAAAGAAGAGTTCAGCCAAATAAATGTCTGAGCATTTCCACTATGAGAGCTAACGGCACGTACACAGATGGAAAAATAAGGAATTTAGCAGCAGGTAATTACCTACATTAAAAAAAAAAAAAAAAAAAGATGCCTTTGTTAATGCTATGAATAGAAAACAGGCACTCCTATTTTCCAGTGTGTCTTAAGTGATAGGAAAAGAAATGAATGTTCTACTAAAGTACTTCACTTCCTCTAGACATCATGTTATAAAGACTAATTTGAGAACTCTGTATCTTTGTCCTGGGAATCTGGAAATTTTTCTTTTGAAAATAAACAAGTGTTCTAAGTAACATGCTCATGATTTACCAATTTTAAATAGTGGTTTATCCAGAGCAAATTTTAATTCCTCTTTATATTTGGCATGGGGAGCTCAAAAAATAGTGCATTAGACCCCAATGATAATAAAAATCCATAGTCATAAAACTGTTCAGATTTAACATACACATATGGACAATATTTTTGTAACAAATATATATTGTAATTTTATTCAAGCAAATTATTATTGATGTGTTTTAATATTATAAAAAATATCAATTGCTCAACTCACAAAAGCTCTTCATGTTTAAATTGTAGGATCATCCATAAGAACGGTTACAGTGAGCAAGAATGCATGGAGTTCAAAGCAGTAATTTACAGTAACATATTGCAATCCATCCTAGCTATTGTGAAAGCCATGACTACCCTTGGGATTGATTATGTGAATCCCAGAAGTGCAGTAAGTATGCAAATAATGACCGTTGCAGTCCTACAATGGAGTTTGAGCCATAAAATGGTAGAACTAAATTTCTAGTATTAATCTACACCAAAAATTTAAGAATATGAATTATGAAATTTGGAAACTTTAATTCTGTTTAGTGTGAGATTTCTGTTTTTTCTTTACATGAAACTTCTTTTTGAGTGTGTGCTATAATCTTATTCAATATTAACTGGTTTCCTAGGAATCAAATCTAATATCAAATAATATACTGTATTAGAGAAAAATATTGGTTATGTTTCCTAAATATAAAAGAATTTATTCCATAAAATCAAACTACAATATCTCTACATTTATTTCCCAAGTTGAATTATGAGTCATTTCATGCAGATTTTAGTAATAACATTACTAAAAATTACAATTTTCATTATTGTTCAATAATTACAAAGGCAATGTGGGGCAGGGAAATTTTTATTTTATAATGTCAATTTTTTAAAAAAGAATTCAAAGTGTGTGATTAAGTAAGCTCTATAATAAATATACTCAGATAGGCAGAGTTATGTTTATAAGGTAGCATCTAAATAGTTTCATTTCATTCTATTTTATATTTTGTAATATAATTCTATAACTATATAGTGTTCTCCAAAGAACAATAACTACCCACACCCAAAAGAGGAGTAATAGTGTACAATCAACAGGAAAAACTCACTTATTTTTACATGTCCCGTCCAAAAGCAGCTGGTTGCCTCCAGAAGATATCAATTGAACTGTTGCCAGTGCAACTCTTAGATACCTTGTTATACTACAATAAAAAAGAGAAGAACAGCATTTTAAGTATAGAGAAGAATGTGACATTTGTACTTTCCTCTCCCTATACTCCTCTTGGAGTTTAGGGTTCGACCATGTAAATTACCATTGGAAGCCAGGATGAAAAGAAAAATACTTTCATGCTGTTAATTTTAAAGGAAATGGTAAATCCTCTTCTTGTTCTGCTATTTTCCAACAAAGAGCACAGAAATGCTAAGTATGTTCTTAGGGCAGATCATTTGTAAGGCAGAGTCAGGAGTTCCGCTAGGCTCTCCTTCCATTTTTAGCTTTCCTCAAACTTGGCTCCAGTAAGTCACCTACTTCTTTAAGTTACAGTTGCCCTCTCACATGTAAAAGAGGAACTTGCAGGAGGAACTCAACTCCAATATCTTTGCATTCTTTACCATTCCATGAGTTGATGATCCTTTTTTTTTTTTTTTTTTTTTTTTTATGTAAGGGTAGTTTGGTTACAGCTCTGACGCTGGCTGTTCCTAAGAAACTGAGACTTTAAATTAGCCCTTCAGAAGCAACCTGATATAAGTCTCATATTTAAAGATGTGAAAAATCAGGGTCAAAGAGGATGAGCAATGTGGCCAGCATTGTATAGCTAGCGTTTGGGGGCAAAACCCACTTCTTCTGGCTTCCATTAGAGTGCTTTTGCCTATGCAAGGATTTTTGCAAAAATACTGTTAATGGTCAGAAGTGATTGCTAATCTGCAACTGGTTAGAGTCTTAATGACCTTGCATGCCTGTGGAGTAAAAATAATAGACTTTGTAGATTGCTGCCAGTAGGCTGAGAATTAAAAAGAATGTAATTTATTCAAAGCGTACATTAAATGGTAAACACAGAGTGATTTATGCAGCACTGAACAACCGACATGACTTCTCAGGAGGACCTTTGTCCTCAAGTGTCAAACATCACAGCTGGCAGATACTACATAACTCAAATTTTGATTTCAATTGTTGAAAACTGCAGTCGTTTTGGTGACAATTCTACAGTATTTGATTTTAAGATCAATATACTCTATACCTGCCTTAAACTTTTTAACAGATTAATTGCTAAGCATCTCACCTATGTGTGGCTTTCAGAGTTCTGTTGTCCTATGGCTTTCAATTTAACTGTATATTTATATAATTTCTATATTTTTATATTATCATTCATACATCATGCAGATTACCATTCAGAGAGAGAAGGAACCCTAAAAAAAGTTTCCATGAGCTTTATTGATTATAGCTCTGTAAATTTGGACAAGTTACTTAATCTTTGTACATTTTGGTTTCTTCATCCATGAAATGTTAGTGTTTTTTTCACTGAGTTTCAAAGACTATTACAGAAGGAAACAGAAATACAGGAAATCCACTTAAAAACAAAATCTTGTGGGGCAACTGTGTGGCTCAGTCAGTGAAGTGTCTGGCTCTTGATTTCAGCTCAGGTCATGATCTCACAGTTCGTGAGGTCAAGCCCCACATCAAGCTCTGTACTGACTGTGGGGAGCCTGCTGGGGTTGTCCCTCCCCTGCTTGTTGCCCCCTCCTCCCCTTGTTTCTCATTCTCTCTCAAAATAAACAACCCCCCCCAAATATTGTAAGATCCTAGTAAATATTGAGTATTTACTCTCTGATAATCACTTTGAATATAAGCTCATTAAAATTTATATATTGAAGTCTACACATCCAACATCATTTGAAAAAAATTGTATTTCATTAAACTTTATTTATACAGCAGACATTGGACTGGACACTGGGAATATACTGAGGAATCAGCAGTAAATGAAATGGAAATAGTATTTGCCCTAAAGAGAGGGAAGACTGATGCTGAACAAGTAATTGCAAAGCATCAGCTATTGCAAAAGGGTAGTACAGCTCAATGGGGAGCTAAATCCTCATTTGTGGAAAGAATTACCAAGAAAGGAAGTACTATCACCAGTGGGGATGGGGAATAATAAATTAATAATAATAATAAAGTTTCTTTTAAGAAATGCTGAGTTTATAAGTTCTGTAACATGTCCACATGTGTAAGTGGTTGAAATGTGCATTTAAAGTTCAAAGGACATAATTTGATGAGAGATCTAAATCTCAGTATCATTGGCATTATACTACGGTGTATAATTTATATTAAGGAAGTGGGTGGGATGGAAAAGTTCAAATGCTTCGACTGAGAAGATAAGGGTGTAAAGAAGAGTAATGACTTAGATGCCCGTGTTGAAAAACTAACATTTTCTGGTCATTTGAGAGGAATAAGAAAGTTGGAGGAGATGGCTGGATAGTAAGAGGAAAACCAAGTTATATGGAGTCACAGAATTCAATATTCCAAAGGGTACTTATCTAAGCTGAAAGGTCTTGAGGTCAAAAAGAAGTATATTTAAAACCTACAGGGGCACCTGGGTGGCTCAGTTGGTTAAGTGTCAGACTTCGGCTTAGGTCATGAGCTTATGGTTCGTGAGTTCAAGCGAGCCCTGCAACAGGCTCTGTGCTTACAGTTCAGAGCCTGGAGCCTGCTTTGGATTCAGTGTCTCCTTCTCTCTCTGCCCTTTCCCCACTCATGCACTGTCCCTCTCAGAATTAAACAAACATTTAAAAAATAATAAAAAATAAAACCTACAGGATTTAATAATACCAAGATCACTGGGGGTATCATGAGACAGGTTTTAGAAAAGTTGTGGATGCAGAATCCAGTGAAGTATGTTGAGATATGAGAAGAAGATATGGGAACAGTTTAAAGACATTTTAGCAACTATAGCTGAGGAATGTAAAGAGAAATAGTATCTGAAGCTGAAGGGGAATGCATCTAAGAGAGGGCTCGTTTTTACTTATATTAATATTTGACAGACTAATTTCATAAATATAGAACTTGTAAAGGGTAAAGTTGAAGAAACAAGAAGGGGACATAATACAGGCATTTAGTAAATTTCTACTTGTTCTCTCTGAATATTATCATATTCCATTTTAGAGCATCTAGAACATCCTCTAGACCAACATTAAATGAATGTTGAATGTTTTAGTACTTTATCTCATGATTTGGGTATTGTGACCATCTGTGAGATAGTATCCTACAAAGTGAACCCTATAATATGAACCAAAGAACAGTGATTTCTCAGAATTTTCCAGGATAAAGTTCTGTGATCAACTAAGTTTAAAATACATATATGCATATATATATACATATACATATATTCCCAAGATGATAAGGTTGTGATATCTCTTCTTTCCTTGATATATTTTTTTCTGCAATCTTTGGAAATATGACTCAAGGGTTTAGAATGAGTTCCACAAGACTCTAGGAACACCTGAGGTCCCTAACATTTACGAAGAAATTCTGGGTAACTTGTAGAGACAGTATATATTTTTCTTTCTTTGCAACACAGTTCTAGAGCCATGCAAACTTGAGAGAATGAGCCATTCCAGAACCATCATAGTTCCCAAGCTTTTCCAAATATATCACAAGGAAATAAAATTTCTTCAGGATGCCACTCAAACCTCTTCAGAGCTATTTGAAAAATGTGAGAAATTATTGGAGAACCTTTAAAGCTTCCTTAGAACATGAGGTCTGAGCTAATTAACACATTTCATTTTATTGATTCATTTGTTCTACAATATTTCTGGGACAAATACTATGCATTAGGTTCTGGTGTAAGTCTTAAGGATGTAGAAATGAACAGAAAAAAATATCACCACCTTCATGTGGTGATAGTCTAAGATAAAAGATACAAAATAAAGAAATATGCAGTATGTAAGTAGTAACAAGTGCTATGAAAGAAAACGGAGGAGGGCAGAGGGCTAGAGAATAAGGAAAGAACGGAAGAAAGGGTGGCTCTGGAAGGCATTTTTGAGGGGCTGGTATTTGGGAAGAAACCTAAATGAAACAGAGAAGACATGGAGGAACAGCCATTCAAATGCTCTCAAATGGGGGGCTGTTGAGTTTGAGAAACAGTAAGAAGTCTGGTGCATCTTGAGGAAAGAGAGACAAATTGTGGGGGAGGGAAGAGATTGAGAGACAGAGCGGGGGTGGGGGGGAGAGGGAGGGAGGGAAGGAGAAATAAAATTGAAAAAAAAATGCATGGGTCAAGACTTGTGAAACACTACGAGCCATGACATGGGATTTGGGTTTTGAGTGTGCTGGGAAATACTGGAGGTTTTAAAATATGGGAGTAAGATAATAAGTTGGAGTTCAATTTTCCATCACTTTGGCAGTTATGTAGAAGACAACTGTTCAAAAAAAAAGACAACTTTTCATAATACTTGTTAATTTTGATATTATATATATTTAAAAAATTCAAACGTTATTGGTGGGTCCAATTCCTTAGCCACATGAATTTTGATTCTTTGAATTACTATGTCAGCCCTTTAATAACTGCAGAAGAACTTCCAGAATTAAAATACAGTATGTCCAATAACATATTATTTATGGTTAAAGAAAACTATGTATTGCCAGGGATTCTCAAATCAGGCTGCTCATTTGAGTCACCCAGAAGATTTTTGAAAATACCTTTGTAGAACCTGACACCCAGAGTTCCTGCCTCATTTCTTTGGGTTGAATTCCTTGTAGCAGTATTTTTAAAGAGTGCCTCACATGCTTATAATGCACAGCCTTGTTTGAAAATCACCATCATTGCCTTTTCTATGCAAGCAATAAACTAAAAAAATAAAAGGTCTTGAAAGACAAAACCAAACTGGTAGGGTGGCCTGCCCTCGAGGGAAGTACTAGGATTGAAATGGTGGCCGAAGAACACTTTATGACATTTACATGTTCAAGGTGAGACGATTTTCATGATGGTTATCTATTCAAATAAAGTGTATTTAGGTTGAAATTGGAAAAATTTTTTAAATGAAAGAGTATATTAGAAATCAGCTTGGTTCATAAAGATATGTTAATAAGGCATGTCATTTTTTTCCCTTTAAGGACAAACTGGTTCGAACAGCTGTTCATTGCATCATTTGTCCTGAATGACACCTTAATAGTGAAGGAGGCACATGGGATGATGCCAGCCAAACTGGCTGGGTCATATTTCGCTGGGTTTGCAGTGCTCTCTCACATCTAACTAATTGGGAAGAAGGATTTAAAACTTTACGCTATGCCAATATAGGAAAATGGGTTCAATCCTTAGATTTTGGCCATTTTACAATTTTTGGTTAATGCTCATCTATGTAATCTGTTTGGATTAGCAGTAAAATCTGAATATGAAGAAAGATGTAGTAAGATTTTTAGTCTTAACAGAACCTCTCTTTAAGAAGGAGAGACAAAACTTTAGTTTTTAATGCAAAGAACGGATTATTTTTTTTTAAATTTTTTTTGACATTTCATACATTTATTTATTCATTTAACAGAGGCTTATTGAATCTTACTTGCTTTCCTGTTACTGTTGAAGGTACAAGGGATACACTGTATTACTTCCTTATTTCTGTGAGATGTGATGATTTCATAACCAAACTTTAGTCAGGCTCCTCTGGCCTTCTTTTCAATTAGGCCTAGACCCTGGGCTTCTATGTTTATCCTTTCATAGTCCAATTATAGCAAAAATTCTGCTAAGTCAGTTTAAAGAATATTCTTTTGTCTTTGACATCTAATCATTGACATTTCATCAAAGTCTTGACCCTCCACCATCCCCAGGTGATAGGCAACTACACTGGCATAACTTTAGTAAGAATTCTGTGAGGTCAGTTTAACAAGAATTCACCCTACCTTTGATTTTTCTTTTTAGTCATTTTGTATTCACCACCCTTCTCCCAATTCCCCTCCCAGCCAATGTGCTCCTTGACCATAAATCTCTACATGTTCTTACTGTATTTGGTGTTGAGTTCCATCTCTTTCCCCTATTGTGATAGTCTTGACACCTATCTCAATAGTCTTGAATAAAGTCTGCCTTACTTTTTTTTTTTTTTTTTTTTGTGGTCTATAACTTTTTTTTTATTTTTTTTATTTATATATTAAATTTATTGTCAAATTGGTTTCCATACAACACCCAGTGCTCATCCCAAAAGGTGCCCTCCTCAATACCCATCACCCACCCTCTCCTCCCTCCCACCCCCCATCAACCCTCAGTTTGCTCTCAGTTCTCAACAGTCTCTTATGCTTTGGCTCTCTCCCACTCTAACCTCTTTTTTTTTTTTTCCTTCCCCTCCCCCATGGGTTCCTGTTAAGTTTCTCAGGATCCACATAAGAGTGAAACCATATGGTATCTGTCTTTCTCTGTATGGCTTATTTCACTTAGCATCACACTCTCCAGTTCCATCCACATTGCTACAAAAGGCCATATTTCATTTTTTCTCATTGCCACGTAGTATTCCATTGTGTATATAAACCACAATTTCTTTATCCATTCATCAGTTGATGGACATTTAGGCTCTTTCCATAATTTGGCTATTGTTGAGAGTGCTGCTATGAACATTGGGGTACAAGTGCCCCTATGCATCAGTACTCCTGTGTCCCTTGGATAAATTCCTAGCAGTGTTATTGCTGGGTCATAGGGTAGGTCTATTTTTAATTTTCTGAGGAACCTCCACACTGCTTTCCAGAGCGGCTGCACCAATTTGCATTCCCACCAACAGTGCAAGAGGGTTCCCGTTTCTCCACATCCTCTCCAGCATCTATAGTCTCCTGATTTGTTCATTTTGGCCACTCGGACTGGCGTGAGGTGATACCTGAGTGTGGTTTTGATTTGTATTTCCCTGATAAGGAGCGACGCTGAACATCTTTTCATGTGCCTGTTGGCCATCCGGATGTCTTCTTTAGAGAAGTGTCTATTCATGTTTTCTGCCCATTTCTTCACTGGGTTATTTGCTTTTCGGGTGTGGAGTTTGGTGAGCTCTTTATAGATTTTGGATACTAGCCCTTTGTCCGATATGTCATTTGCAAATATCTTTTCCCATTCCGTTGGTTGCCTTTTAGTTTTGTTGGTTGTTTCCTTTGCTGTGCAGAAGCTTTTTATCTTCATAAGGTCCCAGTAATTCACTTTTGCTTTTAATTCCCTTGCCTTTGGGGATGTGTCGAGTAAGAGATTGCTACGGCTGAGGTCAGAGAGGTCTTTTCCTGCTTTCTTCTCTAAGGTTTTGATGGTTTCCTGTCTCACATTCAGGTCCTTTATCCATTTTGAGTTTATTTTTGTGAATGGTGTGAGAGAGTGGTCTAGTTTCAACCTTCTGCATGTTGCTGTCCAGTTCTCCCAGCACCATTTGTTAAAGAGACTGTCTTTTTTCCATTGGATGTTCTTTCCTGCTTTGTCAAAGATGAGTTGGCCATACGTTTGTGGGTCTAGTTCTGGGGTTTCTATTCTATTCCATTGGTCTATGTGTCTGTTTTTGTGCCAAAGAACAGATTTTTTTTTTAAAAATTTTAATGTTTATTTATATTTGAGAGAGAGAGCATGAGCAGAGGAAGGGCAGAGAGAAGGAGACAGAGAATCCAAAGCAGGCTCCAGGCTCTGAGCCGTCAGCACAGAGCCCGATGCAGGGCTTGAACTCACAAACTGTGAGATCATGACCTGAGCTGAAGTCGGACGCTTAACCAACTGAGCCACCCAGGAGCCCCACAAAGAACAGATTTTTAATAAAATGGTGAAATAAGCCATTTTTACTATTTTAAAATAATAAATTGACTTGTACCAGAAAAGCAGCAAGTTCCCATTGATAATTCTTCACTGGTAGCCACCTGACATTGTACAAAGTAGTTTGGGTTTGACTCTTCTTCTGAAGCTCATTGTCCTTATTGGTTTGGCAAATCAACCTTCTAGTTTTAGATTCATTTGTAAAATGGAGAAAAATGCTGTCTATGCGACTAGTGCTGTGAGGATTTTGTGAGATATTATAGGCGCTGTCTTATAACCTGTTATAATACTATGTGCTAGAAAGAGTATGAGCTTTGGAGTCTGACAACAACGATTTGAACCCAGACTTCATTTGCCTGGTCCAGTATCATGGTCAATAACTTAATTCCTTTGGAACTTAAATTCTTAACTTTAATTTTTTTTGTCATAAAATGGCTTTATTAGTTTAGATAAACTGCTGACTATTTTATTTAGTTGATAAAGTTTGATTTTCTTCTGTCCTTCTCACCTTCAAATATCCCATCAGGACTAACACAATATCTGCTTTTTTTCCCCCCTTTATTTCATTTTTTTTCTTCTTTTCTTCTTTCCCTTCTCTTCTATTTTCTTTTTCTTTTTTTTTCCTTCTCTTCTATTTTCTTAATGAAATCTTCACCTCTATCCTATTTATTCGCCTCAAAGTCATGCAAACAACACCTGTACAGATGTCCAAAAACCATGTGTATATCAAAATACTTATTGCGGCTTTATTTATATGATTGCAAACAATACTTGTTGGTAAATTATACTGAGTTTTATTTTCCATGTTATCTCTAATTCCTTCATGGTATTTTTATTTCCTGGAAAATACATGGCAATGATCAAAATGAGAAGTGCCAGAATATATCAGAATTGTTACCCTTTTATCCTTGCATTTTGACTCTGAAAACTCAATCGGTTTACATTATCCCCTCTGACATTACATTCAGAAGTTAATGACATATCCTAAAATATCCTAAATTTACCATATCAGGTTACATAGATTTTACAATAGAGGACTCTTCACCCAGCCATTATAAGGAAACTCAGGGGAGCCTGGATGGCTCAGTCTGTTAAGCATCTGACTCTGGAATTTGGCTCAGATCATGACCTCACAGTGTGTGAGATTGTGCCCCACATCGGGCTCTGACTTGACAGTGCAGAGCCTGCTTGGGATTCTCTCTCTCCCTCTCTCTCTGCCCTGCCCCCACTTATGTGTACTCTCTCTCTCAAAATAAATAAACACTTTTAAAAATAAGGAAATTTAAGATTGCATTAACAGAATTATTACCTAAAGGAATAAGATGTAAATAATAAAATTTAGGGTGCCTGGGTGGCTCTGTTGATTAAGCATCCAACTTCAGCTCAGGTTGTGATCTCACGGTTGGTGAGTTCAAGCCCCACATCGGGCTTGCTGCTGTCACCACTGAGCCTGCTTTGGATCCTCTAACCCCCCTCTCTCTCTGCTCCTCACCTGCTTGTGCTCTCCCTCAAAAATAAACATGTAAAGAACCAATAAGAATAAAATTGAAATGCCCTATTAAAAGGATATGTGATTCCAAATAACAACACATTTTTATCATTCTTTTAAAAACATTGCTATAGGAAGACCAACGACAACTTTGTGTGATGGCGAACACTCTGCAAGATGGTGGCATGACACCTGAACTGGCTGAGGTGATAAAAAGACTCTGGAGAGACCCAGGAGTTCAGACCTGCTTTGAAAGGGCATCTGAATATCACCTCAATGACTCAGCAGCTTAGTAAGTGAATGCATTTAACAGGAATTATAGTTGAAACATTTAAGTCAAGAATTACAATTCTTCAGGGGTGCCTGGGTGGCTCAGTCAGTTAAGTGGATGACATCAGCTCAGGTCATGATCTCACAGTCGTGAGTTCGAACCCCATGTTGGGCTCTGTGCTGACAGCTCAGATCCTGGAGCCCACTTCGGATTGTGTGTCTCCCTCTCTCTCTCTGCCCCTTCCCTGCTCACACTGTCTCTCTCAAAAATAAATAAATGTTAAACATTTTTTAAAAAATATTTAAATAAATAAATAAATAAACTATAATTCTTCAGACTCTACATTTGTCATCACAAATGAGGAAAGTAAATAGCTTTACATTTTTTTACACTAAAACAAAAAGAAGTTGAAGAGAAATATAGATCAAGGTGACATCATGAAATGTAAAACTATAAGCAAAGGAGCATTTAAAATAATTTTGAAAGTATTTGCCTGTAAATACCCACATTTTGCAAATATTTTCTCCCAAATGAAAAGGACTCCTCTGTGTGCACTGTTCTCAATGTAAACGCAGATTGGTGGCATACACACTGATGTTTTGGGCTACTCATTCATCTCTCATCATATTACTTAAATATTCTTCTAAAATAATTTTATTGATGACACATTCTTTGACTCCATTGGTTTGATGAACATGATACAGAATTCTAGAAGAAAGTAATGATTTTCAAAACATTTGTATTTTGTGGGATACTGTTTGAGTCTCAAGAAAGATTATATAATTTTCACAGCTAATATCATCCAGTAGGCAATTATCAGCCACAATAAAATTAGGAGGTTATGATACCATTTGTAATTTCATTATCAAAATTATTTTAAATTTCTATTTTAGTAAGTAGTTCTTAACCTATACTCTGGTTATAAGCCTGCACGCATGTGTGTACATGTATGCAAATTAATATAATTACTTATTCTATGTATCTGTCCATGCATACTCATATATAAAACGGTATAAATACAGTTCTTTTGATGAACTCACAACAGAACATGTTAGTACTACTTAAAAGGTGATGTAAAAGTGAAGCAAATGAAAGATTATTTGAGGAAAGAACAATGAAATTTGCATGATACTTCAGCTTTCTAATCGTGATGGTCAGAAGGATTATAGAGAGAAAACAAACTATACAAATTTTAGGAAAAGCTAACAACAACAGTCTTCTGTGATTAGTCACTCATGTTCATTTTAAATTCCAAAGCACTTGGTGGAAAGTCTTGCTCTCATCTCTTTGATGAAGTAGAGAAGGAATATCATCATGTGATTATTAAACTCATTTAATTGTTTTATGTGTCCCAGTGCCTAGCCATATTTTAATACTAAGACAACTCTGTGCAGTATAGAAAACTCTACTTTTCTTTATGAATCGTTGATAAGGGTAGTCACAATAAGATATTTAATTGTGGAATATTCTCATAAAATTTTGCTTAACAAAATGCTAGAGAAGGAAGGAGAGATAGTGTTGGGGGGCAAGAATTCTTATCCCCTCCAAGGTCCCTCTAGCTGAACTCAGAATCAAATTGACACAAGACAGATTAACAGGAAAAAATGAAATGTAATTGGTATACATACAGGGAACCCACATAGACATGGAAATTCCAAAGACAGGCAAAATGAGGTCTATATGTCATCCTGAACTAAGGAGAAGAGGGTGGGGCCTGGGACTTCAGAGGGAAGGAATCAACTTCAAAGGGGGATAACAGCAGATGTTTGGTAATTAGAGGTTTGCCCTGCCATGCGGATGGGTCACTCATAAAATTTCTCTCTCCTAATAACACTTATTCTGGGAAAGACCCCCAATTTTGATTCTTCTATACAGCTAAAGGAGGGGCAAGATTTCTCTTCAGCCTGCAGGGTCTCAAGTGCCTTCAGCTCAAAATAATCCACATACCAAAGTGACACATTCTGGGGAACTGGGGTGTTGTCCTGAACCCCTTCAATAGCTGTAATTAATATATTTGGTTTTGTATATACATTATCAATTAAGCATGAATTTTCCATTCAAATATTGTAAGAAGTGTATTTGCAATTATATTAATCATTATGTTTACCAAATACTTTACTCTGTAATAGCAGAAAAAATTACATATTGTGTTGTCAAAATGGGAAGATGAAATGACCCTGTATTGTATTTTCTAGACCTTCTAGCCTGTAGTTTCAGATTTTTTGTTTTGACACACAAAATAAATATTTTACAGAACTATCATGTTATAGATGCATATTAAAAGTATTTATCTGTTCAAGTTAAACATCATTACACAGTATCTACTTGCACCTATTTTGTGAATGTTGCCCATATAATAATGGTTTTAAATACCCTGATTGATTTAGAGAGTAGTAAAACACCTCTCCACCTTCACTCCCAACCTCTGTTTCAGAAAATTTTCATTAAGAAAACCACCCAAAATTTAAATTGTTAATACTCCCTGCCCTCAGAGGTCCTTAAAAGGAAGATTAAAGAAAACACTTATTAAGAAAAATAGTTGAATGGCCATTGCTTTCTTCCAAAAATTAACAGAATTTTTTCAAATACTGAATTGCATTCTCATTTTGAAACTAAATATCATATTAGATCAGTCCCACACTCATGTCTATTTCATACATATTTTATAGAGCAATGGCCCCTTACCTTCTCTCCCTTCCCTTTTCCTTTGTCTTCCTCTTCTCCCTTTCCCCCCTCGCCCTTTTCCCCACTGTTCCTTTTTTGTTTTGTTTTGTTTTGGTCAAAATAGGATACTTATATTTTCTCAAACCTAGAGCCCCTTCAAGTTTAGGCTAACAAAGTAGTGAATCTTAATCAGAGTAGGGAAGGGAATGTTGTTGGCAACATAACACCTCCCTGCTCGCACCTGTACTACTAGGAAGCTGAAGGAAAAAGGACATGACAGTGACAAAGAGGGGAAAGAGTTTTATCAATACTTCATGGCTTACTGATTGAGGCCATCTAGTGTGCCTCAGTTCTAGACCACAGGCCTGAGTATTCAAATCTTATATTCATTAAAAGCAGGCCTCTTAAATGCAAATTTGTCACTCTGCTAATGCTTCTGCTTTGCTTGAAATCATTTACACATGCAAATGAAAGTACATTAAAAGTGTCTTTACCAAAGTATTCATTTAGCTGTCATTAAAATGAATTGAATCTCTATGTTGACAGGTATGTTTTTGTTGTTCTTGCATGAATCAACTGACCAGCCGTATGTGCAGACTTAGACAACAGAGAATTCACAAAGGGTCTTGCTTCACAAACCAGAAAATAGATAAACTGGAAAAAGCTTCCAATATTTTCTGCTGATATATCTGTTTCTTGATTTGTCCCTTGCTTTTAAGAAAAATTAAGCTTTATTAGAATAAAGCACAGTAATAAATTTTCCTATCATACATAAATGTGTTTCTGAACTATGATCACCTATTTGTCATTTAGCCAAAATCCCTTTGAGGTGTTCACTCAATTTGTTTCAGCTCAAAAGCAGAAAGATCCTCCAAGAATATATTACCCATATTGCTGTTGAATTTATTTTTTTAAAAAGGATAAAATAGTTTTGCTTTTCAAGGCATGATGTGAGGTGCTAACACATAACAACTCTTCAACTTAGACCCTGAAAAATTCAACTTTTGAATGATAACTAATATTTAGCTGGATTCTACCTCTCAAATTCTTTCTGGATAGATGTATGCCCATCATAATCTTCCTATTTAGCTATACAGGTAAACTTAGTTTTAATATAATGACCAATTTTGCCATAAAAACCTTACCAGGCTTTTATTGTCACTATTAAACATTTTCACAGAAATAGCCATATTGCTAAACTACTAAAGCCTTATATTCAAAGTCTAGAATTGTGGTTTTCAACTGTTTTTAAAGCAATGGGATACTTTGTTTTAGTTTAAAGACATGATCTGATTTCAAGAAGGAGGCAAAGAACAGCTTCTTTCCTCTAATCTAACAGACTGTAGCGGAGCACACGGCTTACTCAGATCTATTTCTGCTTCTCAGCACCTCTAGATCCTGTGGGCAAAACCAGGGCAGTACTCAGCTTGCTAACAGTAGGGTTTTTAAATATGTGGTCCAGGAAAGAGGTAAGGATACTGACACATTGGTGGAAGAGAAGAGAGGTAGGAGTGGGTGCAATTTCTAAGTTCAGCCTTCTGTCCCCTGAATGGCTCAGCAATAAAATAAGTTAGTTCCATCGTGAACCAGCAAGAAAATCAAAATATTTTCTTTTATTGTGCTAACTGTATATAATCATGGCACTTCATACAAATGGTCCAGAGTCCTAAGCTAGACAATCCATGGAGAACAACAGGACAAACTTCAAGTTATGAAAACCAATAACTCCCTTAAAATTCAAAATGCCTAAATTCAAATTACAGCATTTTGAAGATAATCTAGTGACTACCATTATAAGATAGGACGTTTTGGGGGATGATCAAAACCTGGAAACAGAAATTTTCTCTGAAATATATCTATATAACATCAATTCTGTTACATACACCTCATAAAATGCAGGCTAAGGTAGTATTGATCTAGTTTGTTTTTTTTTTTTTTTCTTTTTTAGAGAGAGAGGGTACACAAGCAGGGGAGAGGGGTAGAGGGAAAGAGAAAAAGGATCTTAAGAAGGCTCCATGACTTACAAAGGAGCCTGACACGGGTCTCCAGGTCAGGCTCAATCCCATGACCCCGGGATCATGACCAGAGCTGAAATCAAAACTCAGATGCTTAACCAACTGAGCCACCCAGGCACCCAGACCTAGATGTCTTTACAAGAGGCCTCCATTGGTCATGTGTGTGCCACACTTAGTATTCTGCAGCATCCGCCCACCAAGCTCTGATGAGCAGGGTTAGAGAGAACCAGTCTGGAGTTTAATAATTTTAATGGACCCTGAAGTAAAAATTCATTTGTACTGAATCCTGGTATCTTCAAATGCAAATTTTAAAAATATATGCTATTTTTTGTTGTTGTATTAGCTACCTTAATGATGTAGATAGAATCACAGCTCCTGGATATGTCCCAAATGAGCAAGATGTTCTACATTCTCGAGTGAAAACAACTGGAATCATTGAAACTCAGTTCTCCTTCAAAGATTTGCATTTCAGGTATGAACAATGTCTTTTCTAATCATCAACTGAAATATTCAATATGTATATATATATGTATTTTTTATTTTTCATATATATATGAATATATATATATATATATTTTTTTTTTTTTTTACAGAGAAAGGTCTAACCCATATTCAAGCCCAGTGAACCTTAGGCATACTTTCTAGGCCTTCCTAGCTCACTGTCAGTGCTACTTTCCCTATTGCCTTCCTATAGCCCTACACCCTAACCCCCACCCTAAGTCCCAATACTTCCTCCAAGAAAAATGCCTCTGTATTGACCAGGTGGTAGCTAGATTTTATTTTCCTCTTACTTGAAACTGATATCCTACTTAAAAAAAAGAAAAGAAAATGTATTTAAATTAAATTTAAGTAACAGGTGCCACGGATACTATTTCCTTTGCCTTCCTACTCTCTCATTTGCCTGAAATACTCTTATTAATTCATTTACTTAATTTAAAATGATGCAAATAATTGAGAGGAGAACTATTTGAATGTGATGCCATTTACTGAAATAACAAGGCCTATTTTATAAGCATGGTTTGGGTATGAAAATGAGTTCAGTATTTTTATTGCTGTCACATTATCAAGACCTTTCTAGAAATGCTAGTGCAAAATCATTCAGTTTCTTAAAAAATGTTTTTAATGTTTGTTTATTTTTGAGAGAGAGACAGAGCACAACCAGGAGAGGGGCAGCAAGAGAGGAAGACACAGAATCCAAAGCAGGCTCCAGACTCTGAGCTATGAGCACAGAGTCTGACGCAGGCTCGAACCCACAAATCATGAGATCATGACCTGAGCCGAAGTCAGATACTTATTTAACCAACTGAGCCACCCAGGCACCCCAAAACCACTCATTTTTTGAACTAAGAATTGGAAATCCAAACCATAGTGCTATAAAACATCATCATATTTAACTGCCTCTCCCTATGGATTGTTGATGAGATGGACTATTAAACATTAAAACCAGGTTCCAGATGTACCACTAAATAATGAAAAATTAATAAAAATACAATTAGTAAACCCATTCATGTACACAAAATGGGAATACTTTTAAAAAGTAGAAAAACTGAACGAAAGTGACATGAATTGTCTGTATCCATTTGTGAGGCAAAATTCACTTCAGTGGGATAAAAGCTTTAAAATTTTTTTAGTATTAGAAGTGGTGAGATGTAATATCTAATTAGAATAGATATTACAGAGATGGCCAGGATATTTTCAAGTTAATATCAAATAAAGCCCTTCAAAATTTACACCCAAATCTCAGGTCCACCAATAGTTAATTTTCTGAAAGATGACCCAAAGATCAAACCAGGATAAAGGGGACACAAAAATTTGGATCCACATCCACTCTTGGCAAACGTAAGCAGTTTGTTTTCGGTACTGTCATCGCTGTTCCTCTTTGGCAACTACGTTCTCCAGGCTTCTGGTTTTTGATCCAGTTTCTAAGGTTTTCCCATGGGAGTCCAAGTCCAATTGCTTGGACCCTCTGCCTCTCCTAACCCTGTCAAAGCATTACACAAGCTAATGGAATTTTCTGGATTTTAGATCGCTTGGACCATAAACCAGTTATGAAAATTAGTATCACATAATGAATACCTAGAAGCTTATAACTCAGTCATTCTCTGCAACACCAACTTAGTATCTTCTCAGAAATAGTCACTTTGACAAATTATCTGCCATATATATAGATATTGATATATGGCATATATCTATCTATATCTATATCTATATCTATATCTATATCTATATCTATATATCTATATATATCTGTTCTTTGAACATTCCAAACCTTAGGACCTTGCTGTTCTCTTTGCTTAAAATGCTCTGACCCTGGATGAGAAGGACTGGCTCCTTCTTATCATTAGGTTCCCAAATCAGATACTATCGCCTCATGGAGACTTATTCATTCTGTTACCCATCGCCTCACATCCCTGTCACTACTACACCCAGTAGTGTACTGGTAAACATATCAATAGGCTCTCTGGGACACAGGGAAAGGGAAAGCCTGATGTATGGCTCTTGAGGATTCCCTTGCTATAAATACCCTAACAATGGTTAATTGCAACCTAGCAAAGTGAGGTCACTGAATGAGGCACTGGGAAGAAATGTAAACAGCTCTCACTAGCCATACCAGTGGGAGCCAATGCCTTTACAACACTGAAATATCAGACTATTTTGCTTCTTAAAAAACAAAAACAAAAACAAAAACTTACTAATGTGTGAAGTTTCCTTGTTTCTTTATTTGTTTCCTCCTTTGTTTCTGTTTCTGTCTCCTATGCTCTGAACTCCTGGAGGCCAGGGTCATGTCTGTTTACAGTGCCGTCTCCTGTGATTATCACAGTGGCCAGCACAGAGTAGGCGTACTGTCAGTTCTTGCTAGATGAATAAATGTGTGATGCCAAGCACTACATATACCCTATTTTTACATGCTCATTATAACATGTTGACCTGAGTATTGCTGTACTTATTTTGGATAAAGAAAAAAATTAAAGCTAAAATGAGGTGAAAGATTTCCTCAATATCATACATAGAAGTGTTAGAAATGTGATTAGAACATACATCTTTCTGACTTCAAAACCCACACTTCTTGCACTGCATGTCATTGTGGGCTGTTAGGTAAATTGGGACAGAAACCATTCTTTTTTTTTTTTTTTAATTTTTTTTTCAACGTTTATTTATTTTTGGGACAGAGAGAGACAGAGCATGAACGGGCGAGGGGCAGAGAGAGAGGAAGACACAGAATCGGAAACAGGCTCCAGGCTCTGAGCCATCAGCCCAGAGCCTGACGCGGGGCTCGAACTCACGGACCGCGAGATCGTGACCTGGCTGAAGTCGGACGCTTAACCGACTGCGCCACCCAGGCGCCCCAGAAACCATTCTTTTTTAGGGGCACCTGGGTGGCTCAGTCGGTTAAGCATCCGACTTTGGCTCAGGTCATGATTTCACGAGTTCGAGCCCCACGTCAGGCTCTGTGCTGACAGCTTGGAAGCTGGAGCCTGCTTCGGATTCTGTGTCTCCCTCTCTCTCTGCCCCAATCCCACTCACTCACTCTCTCTCTCCCTCAAAAATAAATAAATGTTAAAAAACAAATTAGAAAAAGAAAGAAACCATTCTTTTTTTCTGTAGAGTAAGTGCTTCTTCAAATGTTTTTGGTCATTCATAACTCCCTTCAGAGAGAAGAGGGAAGGGAGAAAAAAATGACCGCCTGTTTGTGAGATATCTCTGAGTTGGCAAGGCTCAGTACCTTTGCACATCTGTGCTTCTGAAACCAGGGACATGACGATTGCCAATGAACACATAAACCTCAGAAAGTCATGTCCATTATTTGGAACATCTATTTCACTCAGTACCAAATAATACTCATAGAATTTTAAAAAATTATATCCTGAATAGAATACAGCATTTGCATTAATATTTAAAAAAATGATTTTAGGGGTACCTGGCTGGCTCAGTCAGTTGAGCACACTAGTCTCGATCAGGTCATGATCCCATGGTCGTGGGATCAAGCGCTGTGTCAGGCTCTGTGCTGAGCGTGGAGCCTGCTTAAGGTTCTCTCTCTCCCCCTGCCGCTCTCCCCTGCTCATGCTCCCTATCTCTCTAAAAATTAAAAAAGGCAATTAATAAATAAAACATTATTTTAAAGATATATTACCTCATAATAGACCTCTTCAGAGTATACCTTTAAACCCCTATTGGTGTACCATTTTCCCATTCTTTTGTAGTTCTGTGTTTTGTGCGGCATTGTCGTAAGTCATATAGACAGGTGATTGCCTATGCTGCTTTCGTATATTGTCGGCGCTTATGAAGGAATAAGAAAAGGACTTGCTAATTCTCTATGACAGCATCAATGCTGAAATGGAAGGTGTTTGTGAATTGGATTTTGGAACCAAGTTAGGATTTCTTTTGACATAACAGTTTCTATACCACACAAATACAACCTCTTTGCATTCATTCAAACAGGTTTGCAGCTCTTTTGTTTTAATGTTTTGTTTTTCTTCTTCCTGAAGAGGGTGTATTATTAAAGGCCTCTTCTGTTAGGAAATGGAGAAGGATAATAACTCAAATGCAGGGAACTTCTTTAAAAACAAGTATTTAAACAATGAAGTTTTGAAAGTATTTAAATTTTACTACAAAATATAAAAAAGGCAACTATACTTTTTTCTTAAGGAACTATTTAAAATCATTTAATTACGTTTTTAAGCTTAGTCACCGCAACTGAGATATATTAATCCCTTAATAATTTCCACAGTTAAATCACTTGGTTTTTTTTGAAGTGCTGAATAGGATTATCTAAAAGTACACAGACTTTTATAGTATAAAATTTGGTAGTGTTTCAAAATAGAAAGTCTAAAAATAAGATACCTTCCAACTTCATTTCAGTAAGTGCCCAGGTATTAAAATATATTGCATTAGCATTGATTTAAATTCACATAGCATAAATCATCCTGTGACTATTTAAAACTAAAGATTTAATTTGCATACTAAACTAGAGAACTCTAGAATTTTAAACAGGAACATCAAAATGAAAAATTCTGTCTGTTAAGATACTGTATCATCTTCCTGTATCACCTAATTTAATGGAAATTACCTTAGAGTTCTTATCAAACCAGAATTCCAACAGTCAAATGTAAAATAAATTATCTTTACAAATGTTAAAGTACTATGTAAATGGAAAACACAAGTGTGAGCTCTTTTATTGTTATAAAATAATCCCTCGGGACGAAAAACTTACAGATTTATAATGATTTATCCAACAATGATAGAGAAGCCACTTTCTCCCTACTTGTTCCACAATTAAACAATAGAATTAAGAGGACATAAAACTATATGGAAGTCGAGGAAGAGAGGTCAGCAATTATTACAACATAGAGTTTTAGGTTTTATAAATTCAACATAACTATTCTCAACAATGTTTGAGTGGATCTATGAGATAAATTATAATTTTCTTAAATTTCAAATTGATCATGTGCACTCTGTTTATTTCTGTGCGGG